CGCTCGTCTCAAGCGGGCAACATTCTCGCCCCCGTCTGCATTCATCCTCCCTGGAACGTCACCTTGTCGAACTTGCCGCAAGATCAGGAGGTGCAAGTCGACGGTCAGACCTCCTCCAACGAACCTCACGTCAAGGCTCTGAGAGACGCCATCGCCTTTATGCAAGCTGCCGACGCTCAACACGCTGTGGTGTCCACCTATGACGAATTCGTCTTTCTCAAGTCGGTCGAGGACGGCAAGGTGCAGGTGTCTCCAGTGATCAAGGCAAGCGATACGGACCTGACGGTATACATGGCACTGTGGTATTGGTGTAGAGACGTTGCCCGGCAGTCGTGATGACGAAATGCATGCGTAGGCGGACAAGTTGCGTCAACAATCGCACGCTAGTCATTCTACTCTCAAGTCTACGTATCACACCAGCAAAGGGGCTAACTAAAATCGATGGAATATTGGGCTAAGTGTACATGTGTAGGACTGCGCTACGGGAGAAGGAGTGTGCAGAATGCACGATGCATGGGTTTGAGTTGAGCATGATGCTGATCGAGTTGGCGAGAGTGAGTGCGCCAGGTGAGATTGACAGTGTACGAGTCAGAGCTTGATGAGCTGAGCTCCAGATGTACGAAGCAGTGGCAAGGTCTGTGACCAAGCTGAGAAACGCTCAAGAGCGCTCGCCACGGAGACGACGGGCGAGAGCGATGTCCTTGGGCTGGATGGTGACACGCTTGGCGTGGATGGCAGCCAAGTTGGTGTCCTCAAAGAGAGAGACGAGGTAGGCCTCAGCAGACTCCTGGAGAGCCATGACGGCAGAGGACTGGAAGCGCAAGTCGGTCTTGAAATCCTGAGCAATCTCACGAACGAGACGCTGGAAACTGAGAGCGGATGGATGCAACGATGGATAAGCGAGTTGATGTCAGTGACAGTGTGCGATAGCATTTGACAGTCTGATGTGCACCAGACCCTTCCTTGCCAACTGTCGGCGGTATTCCATTCGCCTGCGACATGTCGCTCGCACCTTGCCACCAATGCTCGACGCTTGTACTCACGGAAGCTTGCGGATGAGGAGCTCAGTGCTCTTCTGGTAGCGACGAATCTCACGCAGAGCGACGGTTCCAGGGCGGTAGCGGTGAGGCTTCTTGACACCACCAGCGGAGGGGGCAGACTTGCGAGCAGCCTTGGTAGCGAGCTGCTTGCGGGGTGCCTTACCACCGGTAGACTTGCGTGCGGTTTGCTTGGTGCGAGCCCTATGTAACGTCAAGAAGGTGATGCCAGCGGCGGTAAGCGGTGAGGTAACTCGGACAGCGACGATGGATGAGAGTGTGCTCGATGCGACGATACTCACATTGTGACTGAGTTGTTTGAGGGTTGAGTGATGTGTCTTGGTGAGTGACAGAGTGCGTGCGAAGATCACGATGATAGTTGTGGGGAAGAAGGATGAAAGTGGAAGCGAAGGAGAATGGGCTTGGTTTAAGAGGACGAGCAGGAAGGGGGCGCGTTG